GCCCCCAGCCCGCCCGGTGAGTTTGGTTGTGTGATTCTCGTGTGATGGGTATGCTCGTTTCACAGGGAGTCTAGTCCACTGTCCATATCTTTCGATATGAGGACTCCCGGTGTGGTTTTGACTAACATTGACCCTGTTCGCTCGTGTGCCATTTTTTCCATCCTTGTGCTTTGCAGGATTATGGAAGCTTACCTCGACCAGTTGAGCATCACCCAACGCCATCTGCTGTGGACCATCCGTACCCTCACCATCTCCGAGCACCTGCACCTCGATTTCGGGGTGTTCGAGGCGCTTCATGCCAGGCCGCAGATGGAGGCCGTTGTTCGCCCCTATGGTTGGCGGCGCCTTCTCTGCCTCGCCGAGCCGACCTACCAGGAGCTCGTCTGGGAGTTCTACGCTTCCTTCCGCCACTCCTCGAAGGGGTCCGCCGACCATGCTGGTGCGGTTCAGTTCACACTCGGCGGGGTGGAGCTCTCCGTCAGTTACTGGGAGTTCGCCAATGCACTTAGGCTCAACTCCCCGCACGCCAACGACGGGCTCCTGCACTTGGACATCACTGATCCCACCGAATTTCCGTGCCAGGCTTATTTCCAGCGGATCTGCCTGCCCAACCACGTGGACGAGCAATACATCGCCAGCCTGACGCGGGCCTCTCTCCTCCGGCCGGAGTGGCGCATCCTCAACCACCTGCTCGCCTGCTCCTACACTCCCAGCAAGGGCTCGCCCAACCGGGTCACCCTCTGGACCCTGTTCTTCATGCAGGCGATGGGTCGCTCTGAGGACTCCATCCAGCTGGGCTCGGTGCTCGCCCGGACATTCGGAAAAGCCGCAGCTAGCCAGGATCGCGACCTTGTCTGTGGCCCGGTGATCACCGCCTTGGCCCGCTACTACGGGGTCGACTTCACCGGGATGACCCAGGTCCGAGGACCTACCCCGCTCGGCGAGGCAACCCTCCACACCCAGCATTTGGTGGCTCGCCAAGGGCGTGTGCACTGGATTGTGGGTCTCCCCCGCCCACCGGCACCTGTAGAGGGAGACCAGCCGGAGTCCAGCGCAGCTGGGGGACGCCCGGTTCCCTGCCGTACTGTTCCTCAACCCAGGCTCCCGCGAGCCCCTCTGCTGCACCCAGGTCTCCTGCTCTTGGGTCTCCTCCTCCCGTGGTGCCCATCTCTAATCAGTTGGCGGCCATCGCTCAGCAGAACGAGCGCATTCTGGCCGGCCAGGAGCGCCTTCACACCCGCCTCGATCGTGAGCGGGACCGCGCCCGTCATCTGATGTCCGGCCAGCACTACATCATGTCATACCTGGGCCTGGACCCGAACGCAATTCACTACCCCTTCGTGCAGTCCCCGGAGTATGAGGACGAGTATTCCACACCTTCTGGCGATGGTGGCGATGCATTCTAGTGGAGAGAGTGCCTGGTTATGGCCGTGATTTCTTGTCCAGACTGAGACTCCATGTTCTTGTTGTTTCGTTTTGTTTTGTTTTATTTTATTTTGGATTGTAGACTTGGGACTCCGGTTCTTTCACCCAGTGTGTGTCTTGTGTTGGCTTTAGCTCTGTGCCTCGGACTGGTTCCCTTTCCAGTCCCCTGCTATTGACTAGTCCGCCTCCCAATCTCCGTTCCTGATCTCATTTCACGGTAACATCGTTCCCCTTCCATCTGCTCCATTGAGGACATTGTCGCATTTAAGTGTGTGTGGGGGGGGGGGGTTCTTTGTATTAATTGGAACGTATGTATGGGTGCTTGGAGCTTAGTCCGCTGTCCAAATTTCGAGATTTGAGGGCTCCAATCACTGTTGTTTGCTTGATGTTTGATCGTATTGGCACTGTGGATGTGATTAGTGAATTGAATGGCTTTTGACTTGATGCATGACAACTTGAATGTGACTAAGACAGCCTATTATGATGACTAAGATGTGTAGTAGAGTTGTGTAGGGGTTCCGTTTTCAACTGTTTGCTTACCAACTGTGACTTGGATTTGATCACTTGCTTTTGACAGTCATTTATGCATCTAGTTCAGGGAGTCAGAATGAGAGATAGAGCATATAGGTAGCCATGTGAGATTTGAGCCTGCTCGTTTCTTTCTTGTGCGATAGATCCCTCTTCCATGATGTGTAGCATTCACGTTGTCACTAGCTAGGATGATGGAGGCATATGATTAGCCCACGACCAAATTGACTGTCCTGATGTGTCATATCCCCTAGTCAGCCCCTTTGAGCCGTGTGTTATCCTTTCTTTCGGTCTGCAATGAAAAATCACCCTTTTGCATCTTTTAGAAGGTTCCACAGTGGTTTTTACATAGTTTCTGCTGTTTCTGCTAAATGTAATGTGAGGGTTGGAGGTAGTGCTTAAAAGTTGGGCATGTGTTTGAAAAATGTGCAGAGGTGGTGGTTCTCTTAAGGAATGAAAAAGATAATAATAAAGAAAATCAAAGAAAAAAAAGAAAGCAAAAGAGAGTCACCACCAAAAATCTGAATAGTGCCCATAAAGTAGTGTTTCTTAGCAGTCTGGCTTGGAAATGCTAACATTTATATAACCTCCTTCGCTCTCGTGCCCTAAAGAATTTGAGTAATGCAGAATAGCAGAAAGAAAGTTACTGGTTTGCTTGACTGTGATTTTGTTGGGTCTGGAAATGTGGAACCTTGTGCTATTACTTCCACCACCTAAAAGGCCTTTTCACCATGTCCAAGACCCTAGCCAGTCATCTGAACCTGTGTCTAAGACCTCCGGATTAGTTAGTGGTGACACCCCATATGTGAACTCTAGCATTTAGAGGCTGCATTCATGGTGAAGAGACGTTAGGGATTGAGAGAATAAGCATGCGCATTTTTCGCATCAAATTGTCCTGACCCCACAGGTCGAGAGTGAGCGATTCATTTTCTCATATTCTCTATACTCTTTATCCCGGTGAGGACCTAGATTGCTCGGTCTTAATTCTGATATCTTGAGCTTTGTGCATGAAGTGACTGTTTTGAATAAGTGGTTGAGTCAAGTCTATGTTGGTTGGTGAACAGAAGGGAACTCTTCCTTTGCTCGACTTTATTGCATTCGAATGTCATCTGTGGTGGTTGTCTAGGTTGTCGTTGTAGTTTCCATGTGTTAATGATTGAAAGCCAGTATGATCCACGTGTTTTGTGCCGATATGATTTGCCCTAAAGCCTACTTGATTGAAACGTTTTGAGCTTACCTGGTGTCTGACTTGGTTTGCTTGGGGACAAGCAAACGGTTAAGTGTGGGGGAATTTGATAACGATGAAATTGCACATGTTTGCACCCTTAGTTCTTATCCGTTTGTGGAGCATAGTCGTGTATTTTTTGCCTATTTTACGCCGGGTTGTGCTAGTTTGTCACATTTCAGGTCCCGGACGTCGAATGAAATGCTAAGCACGAGTTTCGGGGCATTCGGAAGTCATTCGGTCGAGCTGGAGCCAAAGCACGGGCGCGCCTAAATCAAAGCACGATCGTGTTCGGGGACCGTGCTTTTACTGCCGAGGCTTCACCCATATTTTCCCTACACCAGCTCAAAACACGGGCGGGACTTACCCAAAACACGGCCGTGCCCACCATAAAACACGCAAGTGTTTTCCCAGGGTAGCGACCGTGTTTTTAACACGTGGAAAGGCACGGGCGGGCAGGAGCAAAGCACGGCCGTGCCCTCGACCGTGTTTTGCCTAGTAATGCCCTTTTATGAAGATTTCAGCCAAAAGAGAGGGGGATTGGAGTTTTAGAGAGACAGAGCGATTCCTAGAGAGAGAAAGCGACGAACAAGAGTTCCCAAGTGCCCTAGCTTGATCTTCGTCACCATTGGAGCTTGGCTTGAGCTTGGAGAAGTGCCGATCAACGTCTAGGAGCAGAAATCCATCCTTCACAGTATGATTTCCGCGTCTGAATCTGCTTTTGTTTCTTTCTCCATGGAGTAGTTCTCCCATTCATCTGGGTATGGAGAACCCTAGATTTGTATGTTAGGTTTGATTGTATGAACCCAAGTACTGATTCTATGGTTTGATTATATTCAATTGAGGTTTGAATGATTGAATGGCATGAATCCTGATCAAATTCCTGTTGTTTCTGCTTTAACCTAGAATGAGAATATCTGCCTAGGTTGATAGAGCACCCTTAATTGAAGGTAGTGAATTGGTGACTTTAGTCGAGGAGCCAATTCACTATTCTGCACCGAAGTTACTTCGGTGGTGGAGGTATGGTTCGTTAGGGCCTCAATCTGTTTACTCCGGTGGAGGTTAGTCGCCCGCTAGAGACTCAGATTGAGAGGGTCTGAATACCTTTAGTCGATACTTCAGACTGTTTAAGAACCTTCCGCAGTATAACTATCATAGAAATTGAACTTGGTAATTGCAATCCGGCTTAACTGCAGTCTAGGGGGAACCATATCCGGGTGACCTCTCTCGACTTGAAACAACTGTTTAACTTTCTTTGTGTTTTTGTTTGTTTGAACCTGCACTAAAGTTTCACTGCTAGATAACAAGAATTCACCGAGTAGTCATCAAATCTAGGACCCGGGTTGACATTAAAACCCAAACCCGCTATACTACTCTTTAGGAAGTGGTTACACTTGGCCATTTTCTAGAGTGACAGTAGGAGTGAGTCATTCATAATTCTTTCCAAATGCAGCTTTACCAAGGCCACGGTCTCCTTCTATTGATTTAAGGTTATTGACTGGCTTAATTTGTCAAAAATCTCCCCCTAAGTCAGCCAATGATCCTCTCAGCTGCTGGTGGAGTTCCTGCACACACCCTAACACACATTTACGTGCAGACTGTCCTGAAGAAAGTTTTGCTCAAGTGTTTCAACCAAAATGAAGTTCTAAGCACAGACCATTTTTATTGACTGTTGAAACAGAAACTCGAGACATTCTAGACACATACTTGAAAAGTAAATCGACATAAGCCCAGACAGAGCATTTATTCAACATTGACACTGTAACATCTAAAACACACTACCCGACCAAACTTCTGACTCCCCCTAAGTTTAATATCCCCTCTAAAACGAGAACCTAGGCGATGACACATAGTCTGATATGGCATCATCATCCTCCATCATCAGACTCCTATTACTGCTACTTGCCTCCTCCTGCCTGAACATGGCTCGAACAGCCTCCAAAGGGTCCACCATTGGTCGCTTCCCATTATCTCTGACTTTGTCAGCCAGATCTGTCATATCTGGTTCTTCCTCTGCCTCATCCCCTCCCAGCTTAGACAAACTGAGTCCATCCTGGTGAAAGGGAACTCCAGCAATTGCTGCTTCTCCCCCTGGAGCATTGACTCGAGGGCCACGACGACCAACAGATGCATCCACCTTACGCAGGACGAATTGAGCACGAAGAGAACCGAGAATATCTACGCGAGCCACCTTAAAACGAAGATCTATGCCTAAGGCCAGCAGGATCTGAGTAATTTGTGGTGCGAAAGGAAGCTCGGCAGCATAGTTGTCAGCATGAAAGTTCAACATGTGGTCGAACATTAGATGAGGATAGCTGATAGCCCGATTTTCTTTGGCACTAGCCAGAATCCAAAGATCTGAGGGATAGATTGTATTGAGCCCAAAAGATCTAGGCAGAAAGCAACGGGTTATGTAAAAATGCAACACTTTAAGGTCATCAGGAAGTCGACCAGTATGAAATTCAGAGGGGTAGTAGCGACCAGTGTCGCGGGTATACAGACGCAGAGCATCTCCCTCATTGAATTCAACAGAATGAAAGTCAGTTTCATTCATGACTTCAGCTCCTGCAATGGGAATTCCAAGCAACAGTGACACTAATTCCACATTGATGGTGATCGGATAGTTGTATACTATCGTTGTGAAGCATGGAGGAGAAATATGAAGGCAAGGCTTCATATTGGCGTAGAACATCCGAACGGCCTCAGGGCAAAACCCAAAGTTTCGATTTGGAAGAATATCCCCCCATCTGATAGTGTTGATTAGGCGTGGAATATCCATTCCATACCTATTGAATCTGGAGGGATCGAGGGTGATAGAGGGATGCAGAGAACGATCCTGGAAGTGGTGGAGGTAGCGAGCATACCCCGCTGCATCTTCAAAATCTTTGCCATTGAAAATGGCAGCTTGAGCTAGACGCAGAGAAGCTATGTGATGATTTGGGGCAGCCATGATAGCCTTTTGAGTTGTAGAAGGTGAATGAGAGATAGGTTACAATCCTGATCCCCTTTTAAAGTGGAATGAAGAGTTCATTAAGAGAAAGTGAGGCATAAATAAGGAACGTGAAGAACTTGATTCGGAAGAATAGAAATTCCAAGAGTCATGGAAAGTATGATTGAAGAAGGTAACTTAGATCACTGATTAAGAGGATTCTCAATCCTGAGATTTTCTAAATGGAATCGAGGTAAAGAAGGTAACCCATATCAGCAAGAAGATTCCTAGGGCTTGATTGACAGTTGAGCTATATCTTTTAATGTGAATAACCCCAGTTCACGACGAATGCGAATGAAGGATTCTGAGCCCACGGGCTTTGTGAAGATATCAGCCCATTGACATGAAGTTGGGACAAATTCTAGTCCTATTTGTCCTTCTTCCACTAATTCACGAATAAAATGATAACGAACATCAATGTGTTTTGTTCGTGAATGTTGGACTGGATTTTTGGTCATATTGATTGAGCTTGTGTTATCACAAAACACAGGTACTGAACTAGGAAGCAGTCCATAGTCTTGAAGCTGATGCTTCATCCAGAGAATCTGAGTACTACAGCATCCAGCTGCAATGTACTCAGCTTCGGCTGTTGACAATGCAACTGAGTTTTGCTTCTTACTGAACCATGACACCAAAGAAGTACCGAGGAACTGACAAGTTCCTGAAGTACTTTTCCAATCTACAACACACCCTGCATAATCAGCATCCGAATAACCTAGGAGTTCTAAACTAGATTCATGAGAATACCACAAACCTAGATCAGGGCAACCACACAGGTATCTAAAAATTCGTTTAACAGCACTTAAATGACTCTGTTTAGGTGAACTCTGAAATCGAGCTCAGACACACACGCTGTACATAATGTTAGGACGACTAGCAGTCAAATACAGCAAGGATCCTATCATCCCTCTGAACAACTTATCATTAACTGGAATTCCCAAATCATCCTTATCAAGCTTAGTGTTTGCTGCCATGGGGGTTATAGCAGTCTTTAAGTTTCCAAAATCAAAGCGGTTTAACATGTTTTGAAGATATTTAGTTTGGAAAATGAAAATTCCAGCAAACGTTTGTTTTATCTGAAGTCCTAGAAAGAAATTTAATTCCCCCATTAGACTCATCTCGAAAGCACTCTTCATTTTTATTTCAAATTCTTTGCACAATTTTTCACTTGTTGACCCAAAAAAATGTCATTTACATACACTTGCACTAACAGAATGTGCTCCTTTTCATGTTTAATGAATAGGGTCTTGTCTACCTTGCCTCTCCTAAAGCTATTTTCCAAAAGAAACGAACTGAGTTTGTCATACCAGGCTCTGGGAGCCTGCTTTAACCCATATAAAGCCTTTTTTAGCTTATATACATGATTAGGGTAACTCTGATTTTCAAAACCTGGAGGTTAGGACACATAGACTTCTTCTTTTAAATCTCCATTTAAGAAAGCACTTTTTACATCCATCTGAAACAGTTTAAATCCTTTTGAGCTAGCAAATGCACATAGCATGCGAATTGCTTCTAGTCTAGCAACTAGAGCAAATGTCTCCTCGAAGTCTATTCCCTCTTCCTGACAGTATCCTTGTGCCACTAACCGAGATTTGTTTCTAATCACAGTACCTATCTCATCTGACTTGTTCTTATAAATCCATTTGGTTCCAATTATTACTCTATTTTCGGGTTTAGGTACCAATTCCCACACATTTGCACGTTCAAACTGGCTCATTTCTTCAAACATTGAAGCTGTCCAGAATTCATCCTGAAGAGCTTCTTCTACATTCTTAGGCTCGATTAACGACACAAAAGCTACTAAAGAAGGTAAAGTTCTTGATCGAGTTGTCATACCTTGGTCTAATCCTCCAATAATCTGGCTGGGAGGATGTCGCTTGACTATGTGTGGAGGAAGGTTGTATTGATGTTCCCTCAGGTCCATCCTTCATGTCGTTCTCTGTTTCGTTTGACTGATCTGAGACTGGTACTTCCTTTTCATTTGAAAAAGGCTGCTTTGTAGCTCTGTCTTGAGATTCTTCTACTGTTCCTGTTTTATTTTGAGTGATACTTCTTCCAAGTCCAAAGTCCTCATTATCATCAAAAGTATCTGTACACTCAACAACACCCTCATCAAATATCACGTTGGCGGACTCCTCAACCTTGAGGGTCCGCTTGTTAAAAATTTTGTATGCCTTACTAGTATTTGAGTACCCCAAAAATACTGACTCATCAGACCTAGCATCAAATTTCCCTAGATTATCTTTCGTGTTCAAGGCATAACACTTACACCCAAAAGGGTGAAAGTATCCTAAGTTAGGCTTTCTTCCTCTCCAGATTTCATAGAGAGTTTTATTTAAGTTTGATCTGATTAATGCTTGATTGGTTATGTAACACGCTGTATTAACTGCCTCTGCCCAAAAATACTTAGGTAGATTGTAGTCATGAAGCATGGTACGTGCAATATTAATTAAAGTTCTATTTTTTCGTTCCACTACTCCATTTTGTTGTGGAGTTCTTGGAGCAGAGAAATTATGGGTGATTCCTGAGTCATTACAAAGTTGCTCAAACATATCAGAACAGAATTCCCCTCCATGGTCACTTCTAATGCTGGCAATCTGGCTTAATTTTTCATTTTCAACCTTTTTAATAAATGTTTTAAATTTCTCAAAGGCTTCATCTTTCTTAGCCAAGAATAGCACCCATGTAAACCTCGAGTAATCATCCACAATGACAAATGCAAAAGATTTCCCACCATAGCTAACAACATTTGTAGGACCAAAAAGATCAAGATGCAGTAGTTCTAGGACTCTAGATGTGGACATTACTGTTTTGCTTTTAAAACTTGACTTAGTTTGTTTTCCTTGAGCACAAGCATCACAGAAGAAGTCCTTCTTCTCGTTGATTCTTGGCAGACCCTTAACTAGATTCATTCTGGCCAATTTGGAAAGAACAGCAACATTAACATGGCCAAGCCTCCTGTGCCATTCTTGTTGTTCACTAGCTTCCATGCTAACTAAACACATCTCATTAAAACTACTCTTGTCATTTAGATCAATGGTATAAATTTTCCCACTCCTTTTTCCTGTAAATAAAATTTGTCTGCTTTTCACATTTTCCACATAGCAGCAATTTGACTAAAAGATAATTCGGTTATCCTTCCCACACATCTGACTTATGGATATTAGATTATGTTTCAAGCCTTCCACTAGCATTACATTCCTTATGCAGGGACTAATTCCCACTTGACCTTTACCAATTATCTCAGTCGAGTTATTATCACCAAAATAAACTTTACCATAGTTTCCTAGTTTAAGAGATGAGAAAAGATGTCTGTTACCTGTCATATGGTGTGAGCACCCACTGTCCATGATCCATTTAGTCACCTCCGTGCTCACTTGAAGGCAACTCTGCAAACACAACATTCATTTTGTTTTGCAAACCCAGATCTTCTTGGGTGCATTTGAGATTCTTGAATTATAATACTGTTCAAACTGACCACATTCAGATGTACCATTTTTCCTTTCAATTTCTCACTTGACTACCCAGACTTGTTTAGTTAGACCATGAGACCAATGTGAATTACGAAATCTGAGTCTTTTTCTGCAATCCCTAATTCTGTGACCATATGAATGACAATAGTAACACTCAACTATTTCTCGATTACTGTCTATTCTTTTTCCAGAATTACGAAATCTTCCTTTTTCCTGTAATTCTCTCTTGAGTTTTGTACACTCATTTTGAAACTTTTCCTTTTCTACCTTTGTTTTCAGTAAATTGTCATTGACCAGGTTCTCTCTAAATTTACTAGATGCCAGTTCCTTCTCTAATTCTGTTAATCTGACGAGATTCACTTCATTTTCCTTCTTTAATTTACTGTATTTGTTTTTAACATTTTCAAACTCTGTCTGAATACTGTTAATAATTTCACCCAGTAACTCATCCTCAGAATTATATAATTGTTCTAGTTGAGCAGATCTTACCTGGGTCAAGGATACAGGAGAAGCAGGTTCTTCATCTTCTTCTTCTTCCATTTGAGCAATTGCCATGTATGACCTGTGGATGGTTACTTCATCATCATCTTCTTCTTCATCTTCACTGCAACTCCATGTTGCTGCTAAAGCTCTCTCCTTTTTTACCTGAGGACACTCAGCTTTAATGTGCCCCATTCTGCCACACTTAAAACATCCTGTTGAGCTTACCCCCTTCGTTGCTGAACTAGACTCTCCTCGATTTCTTGTGAAGTTTTTCCCTTGTACACTTTTTATCCCACCATCATTCTTGTCAAAGTCTCTAGGCTTAGTTCCATAACCACATTGTTTCTTCTCTTTTCTGATTCTAAGTAGTCTGCTTATCTGCTTGCTCAACAATGCTAGTTCTTCGTCTTCCATTTCATCGAGTTCTTCAGGATCATCAACGAGACTAGTTGCTTTGAATGCCACTCCTCTTTTTCCCTTTTCGGTGGTTTCCTTCTCATGTCCTGCCTTCACCAATTTCTCTTCGTGCGTAGCCAGTGACCCAATCAGCTCGTCTATGGCTAATGTCTCAAGATTCTTTGCTTCTTCTATGGCTGTTACTTTTGTCGTCCACTTCTCAGGCAGACATTACAAGATTTTTCTCACTAGATCACCACTTTCGTATGATTTTCCTAAATTCTCCAAGCTGTTCACAATGTTGGTAAACCTTTCATACATTTTCCTAATCGACTCTCCCTCCTCCATTTTGAACAGTTCAAACTGATGTTTCAGTGCATTTATGAGAGAAGTTTTGACCTGGGAAGTACCTTCATAGGTGACCTGCAACTTGTCCCA